TCCAAAGAAGATAGCCGAATAGCTAACAAGACACATGAAGAAATGGTCAACATCACTCATCTTCACAGAAATACAAATAAAAACCACAATGAGATACCACCTCACACCCATCACAATGGCTACCATTAACAACTCAGGCAACAACAGATGTTGGCAAGGATGCAGAGAAAGAGGATCACATTTGCACTGCTGGTGGGAATGCAAACTGGTGCAGCCACTCTGGAAAACAGTATGGAGGTTCCTTACAAAGTTAAAAATAGGGCGCCTGGGTGGCTCAGTCGGTTAAGCGTTGACTTCAGCTCGGGTCATGATCTCATGGTCAGTGAGTTCTAGCCCCACATCGGATTCTGTGCTGACAGCTCAGAGCCTGGAGCCTGCTTCGGATTCTGTGTTTCCTTCTCTCTCTACTCCTCCTCCACTTGCACTGTCTCTCAAAAATGAATAAAGTTTTAAAATTTTTTGGAAAAAAAAAGTTAAAAATAGAACTACCGTATGATCCAGCAATTGCACTACTACAGCAATTGCACCAAGGGATACAGGTGTGCTGTTTTGAAGGGGCACATACACCCCAATGTTTATAGCAATCCTGTCGCTATCAGTAATAGCCAAAGTTTGGAAGGAGCCCAAATGTCCATCGACAGATAAATGAATAAAGAAGATGTGGTGTATATATACAATGGAGTATTACTCAGCAATCAAAAAGAATGAAATCTTGCCATTTTCCAATTCTGTGGATGGAAGTTAGAAGATATTATGCTGAGTGAAATTAGAGTAAGACAGATATATGACTTCAGTAAAATGTGGAATTTAAGATACAAAGCAGATGAACATAAAGGAAGGGAAACATAAATAATATAAGAACAAGGAGGGAGACAAAACATAAGAGACTTAAATAGAACAAACTCAGGGTTGCTTGGAGGGGCTGGGGGGGGATGGGCTAAATGGAGAAGGGGCATGAAGGAAGACACTTGTTGGGATGAGCACTGGGGATTATGCAAAGGGGATGAATCACTAGAATCTATTGCTGAAATCTGTATTGCACTAGATGCTAACTAACTTGGATGTAAATTTAAAAATAAATAAAATTAAAAAAAAAGAGCGTATTGTCTTCAAAACACAAACTTGAAGAGAAATCAACAAGGCAGAATGTTTGTAACACCAGTTTTTTAGCCTGAGGTCTTTCATTCTACGGAGCTGAAAGCAGTCCTGCTGTGTAACTTCAGTTTCTCCCATCAACACAGGCCAGCATATTGCAGGCTTGTAAACATGCATTAGTTCATGCCTGCCGTATATATAACCTCAGTGATAGAGAAGCTTATCAGAACCTCCCCAGTTTTTTCTAAAGAACTGTGGTGTTTAAATTTTTTTTTAATTTTTTTTTTTTTTTAATTTCTAGGAGAGAGAGAGAGACAGCGTGAGCAGGGGAGGGTCAGAGAGAGAGGGAGTCACAGACTGAAACAGGCTCCAGGCTCTGAGCTGGCAGTCAGCACAGAGCCCGACGCGGGGCTCGAACCCACGAACCGCGAGATCATGACCTAAGCAAAAGTCGGACGCTTTACCGACTAAGCCACCCAGGCGCCCCTGTGGTGTTTAAATTTAAACATTTGTTGGGGGGGTCATTTATATAAAGAATCTGGTGGGTCGAGAGGCTGCCAGATATTTTAAGCAGCTTCATCCACCCGCGTCTTTAGAAATTCTCTTAATCCTCACAACAACTCTGTGAGTAATTCTCTCCATTTTGCAGATGTGGAAACTGAGGCTTGTGTAAGTTAAGTAACTTGCTCCGAGTTGCCTAACTTGGACAGTTTCCCATCAGTAAATGGAAAAGCTGAAATTTTGTGTAGTTATATGTGACTCTAGAGCCTCTGTTCTCTTCCATTAGTAAACCATGTTGCCTTTTGGAAGTTGGGGTAGCAGAGAACAAGAATTACAGTATTTGATGTAGACTAGGAAGCAGGTATGTTTACTTTTGCATCTAACAAACCAGCCACAGAAAGAGCAATGTTAGGGCACCTGAATGGTTCGTTCAGTTAAGCGGCCGACTCTTGATTTTGGCTCAGATCATGATCTCACAGTTCATGAGTTCCAGCCCCACGTTGGGCTCGGCTCTGTGAGTGTGGAAAACCTGGCTGGAATTCTTTCTCTTTCCTGTCTCTCTGCCATTCCCACTCCCCACTCTCTCTCTCTCTCTCTCTCTCAAAATAAATAAATAAACATTAAATTTGCCAGGTGGTAAACAGCAGCTATACCAGCATCCATAAATCTATCTGTTGTACTCTGGTGTGGTTCCGTCAACATAAACTAAATTCTCCAGTACTGTTTCTGGGCTGTGAGTGTGTGTCACGTGCCTGGTTTAAACTTCTTCACAGTAATCGTTTTGTCTGAGCTGTTCCATCTGCTTGCTGTTTTTGAATACCAACCCTGATTGTGTTCATACTTCCTCCTTGGCCTGCTTCTTCCAATGTGCTCTCTCGATTCATGATACAGAAATGTCATCCTCTTCCGTTTCTGACTCAACTCTTTGTAATGACATGTTTTTTTGCCATGTACCATTATCTGGCTACTCATGACCTGGCCTTTCCTTTCTGGACTTGTTTTCTTTTACTATACCAACTGTGATAATTATTGCTTGCATTTATTGAGAGTTTTCCATGTGCCAGGCACATTGCAGAGGGCTTTATTTATGTTCATGTCATTTAATCCTTACAACTGCCTTGCTAAGTATGGTTATGCCCATTTTACAGTATAGAAAACCAAGACACAGAGAGGTAAAGGTATTTGCCTAGTGTTAACACCTAGTGATATATCTGGAATTAAAATTTCAGTTGCCTCCAAAGTCCACCCTCTTTTTCTGTATGTATATAAAACTAAAAATTTTTTTAATATTTATTTATTTTTGAAAGTGAGAGACAGAGCATGAGCAAGGGAGGGGCAGAGAGAAAGGGAGGAGACACAGAATCCGAAGAAGCAAGAGCTGTCAGCACAGAGCCTAACGTGGGTCTCAAACTCACGGACTGTGAGATCATGACCTGAGCTGAAGTCGGACACTCAGCTGACTGAGTCACCCAGGTGCCCCCAAAGCTCATCCCCTTAAACGTATGTTGTGTTACACCCATGATGAAGGAGATGATGATGATGATGATGATTACTTCAATGTGTTTAGCACCTGCTGGGTGCTGGGCAGTGCATTTACCACCTTTTACCTTCCCATTTTACAGTGTGGAAACTGCTGTTACACATGCTCTGCTTTTAGGCTAATAAATAAGTGCCAGGGTTTGAAGGTATTGGATATTCTTACATTAACAGTATCCTTTCAATGTGTTTTTCCTTTTACTCTCTTTCCTATTTTAATGGTCAACATAATAATGTTTTTCTGCCTACTACCAGTATTAACAATTAAAATGTTGCCGGAGTTTTTCTACACTCTTTTTCTTACTATTGCCTTGGCTTTATCGTTTTTTATTTGTTACCTTCGCTATTTTTTTTCTGTAGCAAAAGCAGATATAGGGGATAAAATAACGAGCGGAAAGGAGAAGGTGCTAAGGAAAGGTAAAAGGAAAGTCCAGATACTAGAAATTCTTCTGTTATCTCAGTTTGGAATACTAAGGTTTAAACTAAAAGCTTTGGGTTTTGTTTTTGTTTTTTTGGTGTTTTTTGTTTGTTTTGTTTTGCTTTTAGCAGCTGTCATTTGTTGAAGAAATATTAGGGCTTTGGCACTTACAAACTTGGTGACATAAGTCACAGTACTTGACCTTACTAACCTTAGTTTCCTACTCTGATAATAGGTTAAATAATACGTTCTTCATGATGCATGGTTAGTTGTGGTGATGATTAAATCCAGTAACCAATGTCAACCCTCTTTAATGTAGTGCTTGGAGTGTTGGTTTACCATGTTACCTTCAGGTATTAATGAAGTAATCCAGAGTATGTGGCTAACCGCTGCAGTTTGTGTTAGGCATGGCTTTTTGCGTTTATAAAATTTAGTGTTAGCATACCCAGGTATGTCTGTGCATAAAAATTCATCAAGCTGTATCCTTAATATTCATGTACTTTGGCTATATGTAAGTTAGTTATATCATTAAGAAACCATGCATCTGGGGCGCCTGGGTGGTTCAGTCGGCTAAGCATCTGACGTCGGCTCAGGTCATGATCTCATGGTTCGTGGGTTCAAGCCCCGCGTCGGGCTCTGTGCTGACAGCCAGCTCAGAGCCTGGAGCCTGCTTCAGATTCTGTGTCTCCCTCTCTCTCTGACCCTCCCCTGCTCATACTGCCTCTCTCTCTCTCAGAAATAAATAAAACATTGAAAAAAAATAAAAAAAAAAACCATGCACCTTTGGTTGGGGCATGTTAGCTGGTATTTCCATGTATTATATGCAACATGTGGGGTCACTCCCTATCGTTTTGCAATCCCCAAGGTCATTTGGTGGTTATTGAGCTTGAGCAGGAAGAGAAATACTGTATAATATCTGCCAAACATTTATTTCAAATTTACAGTTTTAGTAAGCAAAATTTTCAGAACTATTTATTTTTAGAGAAGGTATATTCAGTCCTAAACTATTACTCCTAATGTTATTAATTCCCCATGTACATAGATCTCATCCTGCTTTGGATCTGCCCCATGTAGGAAATACTACAGTTTTAGAGCAAGCTGTGAAATGTGCGCACAGTCGGTACTTTTGAGGCAAGTCTGTCTTGAAGACATACCTTTGTGTCGATCTCTGCTCCCATCAGTCTGCTATGCATAACCCTGATGTTTTTGTGTGTGATTGCATCTACAAGTTCTGTGGTAGGCTCTCCAGCAGGCTCCCATTCTTCTATAGCTGTGAGTCTGGCAAGTTATAACCAAGCCCAACGTCAGGAGAAGTGGGTGTGGCTTTTCGGGCCGAGCCGCACGGGCAGCTCGAAAGTGGTTGGCAGTCTCCTCCCCTTCCTGCACTTGAGCTCTTCACAGTGTGTGCTCTGGAATGACAGGCATTCCTGTGTGAAGAGAGCCAGCGTGAAGACACATTTGTAAGAACCACAAGTGCCCAGGCCGGCATACAGGGAAGAGAAACTCCAGCAAACGAAGTGACCTCATGCTTTTTCCTGACATTTGGCAGTGACGCTGAGAGGGGAATGCATGCCTCTTCTTTATGTGGATTTCTTTCTTAAGTTTTCTTTGGTCCGGGACAGTTTGTTGTCGTGAGACCCATCAGACAGTTTAATCATGGGGCAAGGTGACGTCTCCAGACCGGTAAATCCAGATGCTGTCGGTGAGTAATAGAAGGCAAAGAAATCCTGACAGAGGAGAGGCAGATGAAGATGTGAAATTGAATATTGTATAGGGAGTTGGCTGTGAGGATTTTGTTGTTTATAACTTCAGGATATGTACAATTTTGTGAAGAATGAATGAAACATTAGAAGTTGCTTTTCATTCCATTACATTAATTTGCCACTCAGAGTTTTGTTTTACTTGATCCCTTTGGAGGTTTTTTTAAAATATAATATTGCAAGGAAGCCATCTGTTAATTTCTTGCCATTGCAGAAGATAGTGCATATATAGGAACTCATATATAGAATTCAGTGTTTTACTAGCATGTTGAAGGACTTGGGATGTGTATGGTATAGAGCTAGCACCGTTGATTTCTATAAATGGGGCCATTGTCAAGAATGACATACTTTCTTGGACTCAGTTATATATACATCCTCCAAATACGTCTCAGGCTTTTCCCATTGTGCTGGTCCTTCCATTTCTCATAAGGCACTCCTTTGATATAAATATTGCTCAGGTCAGTGCTTTACATTTGAAGCGTTTTTGTCTCAGAGATAGAGACCAAGCTGGTGATTGTAAGTGTAGCTTAGAGCTTCAAGGCTTGTAAGTGAAGTGGAAGTCCATTGTCACTGAAGACTCATTTTCCCAACCGTGTGGGGTTTTGTATAAGATGAAGATGGAAAAGTGGGACAAATAGTTTTAAGTGGGTATTTGTTAAAGGTAAGCAAAGTAGGGGAAAGTCTATGAATCATTCCTTGACATTACACTTCACAAAATGATTTATACCTTCTCTTTGGTTTAGGACGTAGCAAAAGACATGTTCAGTCCTAGGCTGCTCTTTTTTCAGAAATGAAAAATGTTGATGACTTTAAAGAAAAATTTAAAGTGTGGGAACACAGATAACATTCCCAAATATCTTGTGATTTAATATTATTTAGTTTCTAAAAGTGTGTTTTCCTCCTGAGATCTTGCCAGATGAAGTTCCTACAAAGTATTTCTCATGTTTTACTGAAACTGAAGCACATAGATCACAAAGTGAGTAACAGATTTTTAGGACCAAAGTCAGGACTTGATTCATTTTACCTTGATCGTGAGCAATTTTTAAAAATTTCTTCTATTTTTAGTGAAATGTTTCATGAATAGAAAAAGGCATAGACAAAAATAAACAAAAATATAAAAATATAAAGGATCCTTTGGGCCACTGCCCAGCTTAAGAAATGAAGTTAAAAACAGAGATATCCCGCTCCACCCCTCTCTTTGTGCCCTTGCCCGCACTCCCTTGTGATGACATTTTGTTTCTTTGGTCCCAGAGGTAACCACTCTCCTGAATTTGGTACATTCACTTTTGGGCCACTAACTTCTCCTGTAGGTCTTCATTAATAAGGATCTAAACAATGCTAGGCATTTATCTATGAAATGGAACTGAATGGCATATGAAAGCAAGAAATGGACAAAGAAGTATAACTTACTCGTAAGATATAACTTAGGAAGAATGCCCATCTAACATCTATATACAAAAAATTTACATCTGAGTAGATTGTTTGATATTATTGTTTGATAAAAAGTCAGCCTCCGATTCATCAATTTTTCTGTCTACCAATAGTCCTAAAAGGAGAACTAGAAATCACTCAGGCACCTAAGATTTTTATGTTCTCTCTAGGTGTGTGTGTGTATGTGTGTGTGTGTGTGTGTGTGTGTGTGTGTGTGTGTGTGTGTGTTTATGAGAGCAAGCACGAGCAGGGCAGAGGGACAGAGGAAGAGGGAGAGAATCTCAAGCAGAGATCATGGGATCATGACCTGAGCCTAAATCAAGAGTCAGATGTTCAACCAATTAAGCCACCCAGGCACCCCTGTTCTCTCTAGATTTAATTTTGGGGTTTTATTTCCTAGATAATTCATAGGTGGCTATAAACTATTTTAATGGAGACTCTATTATGTTTCTTATCATTTAGGATTTATTCTATTTGAGTAAATCAGAGCCAAGTCATGAAGGGTCAACATTGACACCTTTGAGGGCTACACATTGCTTTATTTTATTTTATTTTATTGAGAATTCTTTTTTTTAAATTTTATTTTATTTATTTAAAAAACTTTAAGTTTGGGGCGCCTGGGTGGCTTAGTCGGTTAAGCGTCCGACTTTTGCTTAGGTCATGATCTCACGGTTCGTGGGTTCGAGCCCCGCGTCGGGCTCTGTGCTGACTGCCAGCTCAGAGCCTGGAGCCTGTTTCAGTCTGTGACTCCCTCTCTCTCTGACCCTCCCCTGCTCACGCTCTCTCTCTCTCTAGAANCCTCTCTCTCTGACCCTCCCCTGCTCACGCTCTCTCTCTCTCTCTAGAAATAAATAAAAAAAAACCTTAAAAAAAATTAAAAAAAAAAAACAAAACTTTAAGTTTATTTATTTTGCAACAGAGAGAAAGAACACAAGCCGGGGAGGGGCAGAGAGAAGGAGAGGCAGAATCCCAAGTAGGCTCTATGCCATCAGCACAGAGCCCGATGAGAGACTCAAACTCACAGACTGTGAGCCGAGATCAAGAGTTGGATGTTTAACTAACTGCACCCTTTATTTTTTATTTTTTTAATGTTTATTTTTTAGAGAAAGCACAAGCAGGGGGGTGCAGAGAGAGAGAGAGGATCTGAAGCAGGCTCTGCATGGACAGTAGAGAACCCAATGTGGGGTTTGAACTCATGAACTGCTAGATCATGATCTGAGCCAACATCGGATAATCAGCTAACCACCCAGACGCCCCAAGATTTATTTTATTAAATTTATTCTTGTGCATTTTTTTAAAAGTTTATTTATATATTTTGAGAGAGACAGAGACTGTGCGAATGAGGGAGGGGCAGAGAGAAGGGGAGACAGAGAATCCCAAGCAGGCTCCACACTGCCGGAGATCACAAAACTGCGAAATCATGACCTGAGCCAAAACCAAAAGTCAGACACTTAACGAACTGAGCCATGTAGGCACCCCAAGATTTATTTTATTTTTAGAAAGAGAGTGCATGTATGAGCAGGGGAGTGAGGCAGAGAGAGAGAGAGAGAGGTTTTTTTTTTTTTTTTGAAAGAGCAAGAATCTTAAGCAGGCTGCATGCTCAGCATGGAGCCGGAGGCAGGGCTCGATCTCGTGATCCTGGGATCATGACCTGAGCCAAAATCAAGAGTTGAACGCTCAAGCCATCCAGGCGTCCCACTACACCATTGCTTTAAAGGCTTTTACCAAACTTAACTGTTTCTTCATGAAATTTAAGAGGCATTTCATAGAAAGGTGTGTGGAAAGTCTTACCAAATTCTTTGGAAAGATAAATGTACAAAGTAAATTAAGACTTAAATCATTTGTTAAAGTTCTAGGCCTATAATATAATAATTAGTTTTGAACTTATAATTGATGGTATTGGGGCCCCTGGCTGGCTCAATTGGTAGAGCATGCAACTCTTGATCTTGAGATCATGGGTTTGAGCCCCATGTTGGGGGTAAAGTTTACTTTAAAAAATTAATAATAAAATTGATGGTTCTATGTTTGGCAAGCTAAGTGAAATAGAATAAATTACTGAATATGTTGAATAGATTTCATTATTTTTAAGGCACTGTAAATGTTTTACTGGACCCTGATAGGTATCAGTCATGTCTTTGCCCTTGAGAAGTTTACTTTCTAGCTGAGAATTTAAATATTAAAAGAAAAAAGTCCAAGATATTTATAAATTTAGGATAATGCATATTTTGGGGGCACCTGGCTACGTCAGTCAGTGGGACATGCAACTCTTGATCTTTGGGTTGTTGGTTTGAGCCCCATGTTGGATATAGAGATTACGTAAAAATAAAATCTTTAAATAAAAACAAAACAAAACAGATAAGATGTATTCCTTTCTCTTAATTGACTATAGCTTATGTTGGATGTCCAAAGCTGCTAATTAAGAAGATTCTGCTTTCAAATAAATAACCTTTGCATACAGAATCATATGCAAATGGAAAAGATGTTATGTTAGTATCCATCTAGAGTTTTACCATAGGACCTTTTCTAACAACTGGTGAATTAATCAGTTATTTAAATCCAGAGTAGGAATTTATGCTGTAGTGTCCATTCAAGGAAATAAGCAGTTATCCTCAGTAGTTAAAATAAATTTTTTTTTTCGTCAAGTGAAATACATCCATAGGAGAAACCTGTATATTTACTCAGAGAAACTGTTCAAGTAGTAATACTTTGTAGTTCTTGATCAACATAAAAGCTGTTTCTGTCTTCACTAAAAGCTTTCACTGTGTATCATCATATTAAAACAGCCATCTATTTATTAGCACATGTCCTTAAATTAGACACATGATCAAAAAATTTTAATAAGCTGTACTCTACCATTTAGTCTGGAACTTTCTTTCTCTCTGCCTTTCCATTCTCTAATCTCTTGTGTTTTTGTTTTTCCTTTTTGGCCCTTCATATACCTTTCATTCAAAAATTAGCCTCTTTCCTCCTTTTTAAAAATTTTTTACATAAGAATATATTGCTTTAAAAGGTACTGTATTATATTTTCCTCCGTGCTACCTTCCTTTTCCATCACCTTTTGATTCATTTTGGTCTGAAATTCATAGTATGGATTCTCAAGCACATAATGATGGAGTAATTTGGGACAAGGTGATTTAGAAATATATGGTAAAATCAGTATGGAGAGTGTTGGATGAATAAAATTTAATGTAGGTATATAATATTAGCATAGGAATAAATAATAGATGGGTTAATTACAAATAAACTACTTCATAACACCTTAAAGAAAAACACTTGGCATTATTTGGTCATGAGAATTATTGGAGACATTTTCATACTTATCTAGATGTGACAGTAAATGTTTTCCTCTGGGAAGTAAGGAGCAGGCACACTTTGCACATGTAGTCAGAACTGAGGAGGAAGCAGTGGTGTAGAGTCTGGTACACTCCTTATAATAGGGTTTTCTGTTATCGAATGTGCCTGCCAACCAAAAATTATTGGCCCTTCTCTCTGCTCCAGTGGATTTCCTCAA